AACAAAAAAATTAAAGTTAGCAGCAATTATGCTACACTGTGAAAAACACAGGTTCACAAAGTCTAGTGTAAGGTCTGAAATGTCTTTTAACCATGCTAGCCCAAAAGACAATGAATAAGAATAAAGATCTTTATAACTTTCAAAAGGTTATGATAGTGAAAGCATGTCTAGCAGAAGCATTTTTCATCAAAGCCTCTTTGAGAATCCACAGTTACTACTTAAAGGTAATAATTTACCACTAAAAAGTCATGCACATCAATCCTGAGTGATTTATTAAAGGAAAAGAAGATTGAAAGGCTTACAAATAATAATACATGATACAATGCACCTTAAATGATTGATTTTAACAGAAGCCAAGATTTGATTATTTTCAACCATGCCATGGTCATCATAAAACCTGTCATATGGCAGTAAACAAACTGTCCAAAAAACACTTATCTGAAATATTAATTGAAAAGTTTATTTGGTGTACAAAACTTGAAGATAGCTTATATATGCGGAAACATCTGTTAGCTGAGTTCTTGCACAGATCTTAAAATATAACGTTGATAAATGGAAACATCGGCACATGTAGATACGTAGATCTTGAAAGTAGAGTTGTTCAAAACTTGAATATAGCATTGATAACTGGACCAACAATTGGTTTTAGTTTTATATTTAAGTTAATCATGTGTTAGTTATGTTTTAAAATGCATGTTAGAAAGGTTTAATAATTTAAAAAAATATAAGTCAAATTTGTCAGGCCTAGTGTAGTAGGAAAATGTCCCAATGTTCTGACGACAGCTAAAGTGTCACTGCCAAGGAAACCCTGAGAACACCCATTGATGTGTGTCGCGATAAGTAATAATGCTCAAGGATAGAAAAGGAAAATAAAACATCAAAATTAAACTTTTTTTGGAAAAGTAAACACTTATGATTAAGAATATAAACTAAGAAGATTTTCAAGATTATTCAATGAAAAATTAAAAGGTATATACATTTTCTATCTTTAATTTTAAACATTTCACTGCACAATACGCTGATGATAATACTTGAAATATTCAGAGTCTGAGTGCAAATAACTATGTACAAAATCCTTGTAATATTTAACAAAATCTTACCAATTGTTGTGAAGATATATTAAGAAAGCTCAGAGTTATTCTAAGTATTGTTGAACAGTGTATCATTCTCCATACGAGAAGTAGCCAAATGTGTTCTACCCCTTAACCATAAGGTTAATATCAATAACTTGATAATGGACCTTACATACAACCAGGTTTCATAAATTAATTTTTAAAAGTTTTGGATTACTGACCTTAAAGATTTTATGTTAGAATTATCAGTTACACCCATATACAAAAAAAAATTATGAATGCACATTTCTTTACAGTTTATTTTGCAATATAAAATGAGGCTTACCAAAGGTGTCCATTTGCTGTTGCTTTATGTATTGTAGTATTTTCATTTTCTAAGATTTTAGAATCTAAATAATCAAAGAAAAATAGAATATCAATAACCAGTATCACTTCAAGTTATGTAAACAAATAATCCTCATTAAAAAAAACAGTCAAAACTTTTGTAATTTAATAAAAATATTAATTTAATTATGATAAAATAACTTCACATTCAATATATCAAACTCTGAAGTTTAATTAGGCTACTATAACTCAAGACACATGTCCATGAGCTATCCATAGTTCAAGCAAGTTATACTAACTTTACCAAAGGCTGCCAAAAATGACCAACAGCAGGAATAAGAAACAAGATCTGATTCCTAGTAAATATTTTGTTTTGTTGAATTTCATGCAAAGCTACCTGAGGGATACCTGCACTAGCCATTCCTAATTTTGAAGTGATAGATTAGAAGAAAGGCAATTAGTCAACCCCACCCAAAATGAACTCTTTGGCTACTCTTTACCAACACACAGTAGGATTGACCATCACAAGTGAGCAAGCACTTTCGATTATAAGTTTGAATTTTACAACCTACACATTACTAGTTGAGAATTCAAAGCCATCAAATCATGCCAGGCCTAGTAAATAACATGATAGTTTGATATATTAATGCAAACACAAGTATAGGTAGATACTAAAAATTAATAGAGAAAATGTCATGGATACTGCTTACAATTAGGAGCAAGAGTATTATGCTTCATATTATGACAAAGAAGAGGCAAATGGAGATTAATAACATAGCACATTGTAAAGTTGTCTATTCATAAGAAGTTATCATACTTGTGTGAAAAAAAAATCTAAGTTCAATTAATTGTTTGTACACACACACATAACTTACATGCAACACAACGACTGAGCTATAAATTATGTGGCTCATACATTTACTTTATTTTTACATGAGAATGCCTGGTTATATTTAAAAATTAATGCCAGTATTTTTCACTTTCAAATGTATCATTGATGCACATTGATTTTTACATGCATGCATGCAAAACTTTTCAATCACACATACTGAATATTTCCTTGGAATATATTCATGAAAGGCCCTTTCTCTACCTAAACATAAAACAACAACAAAGGGTGTCACACAACTGGTTGTAGTTAGTCCTAATAAAACCCAAATTACAAATGTTAAAGATAGATTATTAATAAGAACAAAATAGGTTAATGTAGACAGACCACTCATGGAAATAAGTATAGTACAGTCAAAGTCCTATAATAATAATTACATAATAAAATTGAGATGGTAAGACTGAAATATACTGTTACGTATCTGCTTGTATAATAATTTCCGGTAAAATTCTTTCCGAGGAACTTCAGCGATACAAGTCCTTTCTTGATTAAACCAGTTTATTTTTCCTCAATACAAATATCTAATACACAGTAATTCCACAGTCAATACATTTGCAATCTTGATAACAAAACACACACTTTATATTACTGTCGCTACTGTTCGCTTCTTTAATTATCTATCTATCTCTATATCGCTGGTTTTCTTTGCCAGGCTTATATACTAAAAAAAGAGAGAGTCTAGCAAACACTAGGTCATTCGCGGGGTTCCTCGATAATTTGAGAAACTACAGCGCGCATGCTCCCAGCGTCACGCGACTTCTGCTGTCGTAACAATACACAAAAAAAGATAAATAAAACTAGAACTTACAATTTACCCTTTAATAATATATTGGTATTCAAATATGCTAAACTTTTTACTTACACTTTTCATCAGTAGCAGCACAAGATTCATGGTCTGCATCTTGGGTCAAGGTTTCACCTAAAATACAGTTACTGATTCATAAAGAAAGTTTGATGAACCAATTATTTAAGTTTGTGGAAATATGCCTCTATAAACTATATCTAATTGAAGTATATATTATTCAGAGTTATTACAATGCAAAATTTTTACAATTTTAGTTCATCTTTAAGTAAATTATACAAGTTTTTAGTTTTATTGATGGAACACAACATTTAGTACTAATATGTACGTGATATTACATCAAACTATTACATCATTTTCTATTGCCCCCCCCACAATACAGATTTCCAGTAAGAGAAGTGTATAACAAAATTTAAGGAATATCTTGTTTGTTGTACATTGCTGCTGCAGATAAGGATTTTTGCTCAATACTAACTAGCTGGGTAACAACATACAAAAGTGTTGGTGAAAACACTATTTACACAAGTGGTGTAGAACAAACAAAGTATTGCTGAAATGCTGTTATACACTCTTCTTCTTCTGAAAACATACTAAGCTAGTAAAAAATGATATGATTTAAATTATTACTAGTTTTTCTGTGATGTAATATCACAAACACATTACTACAAAATGTTATATTCCACCAGCTAAAGTATTCTACACACTACAACATGATTACACTTTATATATTATAATTCATTGTTATAATGTATTGTAATCCAAGATGGTACATATGACAATAGCAAGCAAATGTTTGGATTAAATTTATAGTAAACATTTATTCACATGTTTTTTCTCTATAAAGGCAAAAAGTTCCAATTGTAAGGGATTAAACAGACATAAAGAAAATATTAATCAATACCTGAAAAAAAAACAAAAAACAAAGACTCATTTCAATGGTATGGATGGCTTAGTATTTTCAAGCAACATCAAGAAGGCATTGGTGGGTATTATGAAGAGAATTTTGTATGCAAACATATTGCTGTTTAATAATTTTGTGTGTATTACATTAAAAGATTACAGCTGAATGTTGGTATGTAAATTAGGGATGTCTGGCAATTGTTTGCAATGATTATTCTTGCAAAGGTTATACCTGCTTGACCCTGTTTTTGTGTCATTCCCTCCTACAGCAAGGTCCTACTCATTGCAAAAGGTGGTAAAAAGATTTGTACAAACTAATTTGAGTAGAGAGTTTATCTTCCTTATAAGTATGTAAACCATGATTATGAAAGAAGGACACTTTTGGAGACCACATACATCTTATGGTGGGGAGGAAGAAATTGTAGGTGAAATAAAGACATGATCTGCTAGTGTACCAAAGACTAGACGAGGCCTTCTCTGGGACTAGGAACATTTGCCACCTATAATGAGAGACATCCACATTCCCAATTTGTCCTCATGACCAAGAGATCAATAGGTAACCAAGGAAAGCACTAGCTCAACCTTTCTGATTACCTTCCACATGAAGAAGCATAGGAAGTGAAAACTAGTCATTGTGACCATGATAAACCTGGACATCTAAAGACTTACTGAGCCTCCTAGATATTTGGTAACAAACCCAGACATTGGCAGATGCCGAATTGAAATCTCTAAAGACCAAGGAGAGTGACAAATTTTGCATGATGTATGAAACTCATCAGGAAGAGCTGCACTGCCACCAGACAGTACAGCCAGCATCTTGGCATTATCCTAGAGATCTTCGAGGCAGTGAAGGATCTTCCAAGCCAGCAAAGCAGACTGTTGATACCTCATGATTACTTGTAGCAGCCAAGGTTAACAGTGAATGTGACAACAAAGTAAATTCTTATGTATTTTGGTGTTTTGCTCCAGACTTTGTTTGAAGGTATTGAATTTGTCAAAATGAACATAGCTCCAGACAGTATCTTAGTCATGCAGCAGTTGTATTCTGACTGCACCATCATTTGGGTATGATGATGTGAAACAGGTGAACCTGCTGGTACTTAAGTGGATGAGAAGTAAGGACGTGAATTACTTCTTCAGGCATTTAAAGCAAGTTATTAAATGGAATAAATGAAATCATGGACAGGAGGTGCAACATCAGATGCTGAGCCTAGACAAATTACGGATGAAAAACAAACTTAAAAATGAGTCATGGCTATCAATAAGCCACACCACAGATTCAATCCTATGGAGAATCAAGCAATCAATAATCCCAAGTCCAAAGTTTGAAGATGAAAACTTAGCCTCTTATGTGGATGATCCAAGGAGGTTACAAAGGAAGACATTATCAAGTATGCCTTCTGTGAATTGAGACAAGATACACATTGACAATTTATCAAAGGGTTGCAGAGCAAACTAAAGTGGCATCACATGGGTTTCAGGGCTACGTTGTGTCTGATAGATAGTTTTTGTGGTAGCATGGTTCAAATTGGTCACATCAAACAGTATGCTGAAGCAACAAAAACTGTAACTGTGATGACAACCAAGAAGCATAAACCACTAACTGAACCATAACAGATGTTCTATGATATCATTAGTGTAGCCTATAACGTTTTATATGGGATGAAAGGGCTCCTCAGGCCCAGTTGATGGGCTCACCAAGATGCCAGGGTTACAAGAGAAAGAGGATATACTTCTAAAACTGTGGCTCACCTGTCATTGAATATGAAAGTATGAAATTAAATGTAAATTACTCTGTATAAAATCATTATTGCTCAGAGAAACCATTTTTATAATCTTCAATTTTGTTTGGGTGTGGCAGGAGGGATATGATTTTCTATTCAATAGCTCTGTAACCACCTGTCCCATCTTCTATTTTAGAATTCATTGATAGTTTCTCTTACATTTCATTATATATTACCTATAACCAACAGAAAGTCAAGGTTTTCAAATATCAAATGACATATTGTATAACATTGTGTTCTGAACAGTCAGAGTACCAACATCCTTCCCATGGGAAAGTTAACGGCTAGCTTGGATGAATTTGTAACAAGAAAGCCAGAAAATTTTTGAGAGGTAAGGGAAATTGTCTATATTTTGCATGTTATTAGTCTATGTTCTTTGGTATATTATTTAATTAAATAAAATATATATATATATAGTGCATTACTACCATTAGTATAAAATAGTAGGCTTACGTGTCCTCGACAATCGACAGCAAGAAAAAAGAAGATTGGATAAGTCCTATATTTCTTGTTTTTCAGGTTTATTTTTTATTTATTATTACAAAAGTAACTAAAATGAAAAAATAGGAATCTTTTTAGGATAGTTAAGATTAGATTAGGTAAATCAGATAATAATAATATTACAGAAATGTTTTAAGAGGCACGCACATGAGCAGCACATAGGTAATGTAATTATTATTATGGCACAGATAGTAGATAAACACGGTTCAAAGGGCAACAAGGCAATAAAATTTAATTATAATTAGATGTAAACTGTTACGAGCTTCAAGAGTTACTTAGGATAAACGATTGTAGTTTCACATTACAATTTGAAGTCATTCTAGAAAGAAAAAAAGGGTAATTTAGATTTATTTCGATTTTTTTTGGTGGTTACGAGGTCAGTCAAATTGACCAATCCAATTTTGAGACAGGGTAGAAAATAACAGATAAACTTTAAAGTTTTACTGACAAAAAGTTTCAAATGCATTTAGGAGGTTTTAGGGATTACAAAAAGAAAATTTGAGATTTTTGAAATGAAGAAAAGTATTTTTAATTTTAACATGAAAATTACTTTGCACACAGACTATTCAAAACAAATACTCAATATATTCATGGATAAATCTTTGTTTTAGTTTATTAAAAATACTTCACTAAAAAGTATGATTTTTTGTATGTGAAAGACTTGTAATATTAATTGAAAGACTGCCAAATTTTGTGAAGATATACACACTATATTGAAAGTTAGAAGTATTAAATCTATAAAGACTTT